CTTGCTTCGCTCGGCATCAAATTGTGGTTTCGTGGCAAATTTGATGGAAGCGCTTAACCAGTATTTAGGAAGCAATGGTTAAAGCCTGAATTCCTTTTCGGGTTTTTTAAATTTAGAATGAATCTAACAGCTAACTTTACGTGAGTATCAGTTCATCACAAAGTAAGGACCGGACAGTTAATTATCACGGAGCAAGGGAGGGGGGGGGTTGAAAGATTTTGGTGGTGTCGTAATGAAATTTGCTTGATCCCTGATCCCCCCGCTACGGCTCTGTAGTACTGTAATGATTCTCCTCATCGGCAGTCAATCCTCTATGGTCCTCTCTTTATACTCTGTTACCGACGACTGATTCCCCCCCCCCCCTCTGTTCACCCTGAAAATTATGTGATCCCAAAAAATTCTTCAGATTCAGTACCCTATAAGTAACTTAAATCTACCTGAACCAAAGTTACAGGAATGAGTAAGAAATTTGGTTTTAGAAAGAAATTTCATCTACCTTTTCGTGGTGATAAAGACACACGAAAACTGCACAATACATAACTGTTACCGAGCCTTAAAGATGAACATGGCTCAACCAAAATGGACAGAAATGTTTATTTTAACCCTTTAACCCCTCAGAGTTAATAGCATCTAATTTTTCCTTACAATATCACCACTGAATCACATATTAATGTAATGAGAATAAAGGAAATTATCACCAGCTAAAGAAACTCTTGCTTGTTCGACAAATTCTCCTTGTCAGCTCCACAGTAAATGTACAGAGAGCAGTATGGAGAACTTTAATACTGATGTTAGGACGTAAAGGGTTAAAGAGGCGATCAAGTTACCTTTTAATGCGTTAACCGAAAATTGTGGATCCAGTTCAGAATTTCGAGCTTCGATTATCTGACAGCTTGAAGCATTTTGAAAGGAATTGAAGTAATTGAAATCTTCGAATTGTTTCAATATTTAACCAGCGATACTTCTCGTTGAGCTAAACGTCAACACCAACCTTCGTGTAAAAGCGTAAAACAAACAAACTAAGCTGTTCATCGATTGGGAAGCACGGCTTCCTGATTCGGCTTTTAAAAAAAATGTAGTCACAAATATTAACATTAAAAAGGTTTGCGTTTAAATCTTAGTGTTGAATAATTTAAATTGCAAATTACGATGATGAATAGTTTCTAAAGCTGACCTTTGGAGCGATAGCCCCTTGTCATTCGCTATGACAAAGGGCTAACGCTCAAGACGTCATCTTAATAAACCCTTAACGGTGGCCAATTTTCATAATTCACTCAGTTGATCAAACCAAATTATCCTTTAACAGCCCCACCTACGCAGCACCAGTTTCTTGGAAACTTACGTTCCCTTATTAATTTTATGATAAAAATGGTTGATCCTCTCTTCGTAACAGGTAATTTAGTGTTAACAACTGAGTTGAAAACGTACCAATTTAGTAAATTGGTCACCGTAAAGAGTTTGAAGGCTGACGTTTCTAGCGTCAGCCCTTCGTATATCGCTCTACCGAAGGGCTAACGCTCGCAACGTCAGCCTTTAAACTCCTAACGGTGGCCAATTTTCGACTCGGTTGTTAACACTAAATTACCTGTTATACTCTCCCACCGACGCAGCACTACAGTTTCTCTAGAAACTTACCCCCTTTATTCATTCCTCTCTTCGAAAGTTTTTAAAGGTTTAAAAGTTTGAAAGTCAAACGTTCTTGTTAAAACTAGCATTTTAAAAGCCGCTTGGAGAATTACAAAGCGGAGTAGAGATGGTGCTGATTGGAAGTGACACATGTACACGTCAGGATTGATTTGCATGTAGTGAGTTGATCTCTGATCTTATGGCAAACTAGTCAGTATTTATCAAGGCATTATTTATTACGCTGGGGGGGGGGGGGGAGGAAGCGTGGAGATTTTGGGTGGAGGATCAAATGGTTTTCAGTGGGAAAGGAGGGGGATTCAGTCGTCGCCAATATAGTATAAAGGAGGGACTAGTGCCAATAACAAGGGAGGGGGGGGGGAGGGTAATATTAATAATACAGAGCGAGCCTTATGGAAGGATCATGCAGGTAAATTTTTATTGTGACAGAACCAAGTCCTCCCCCCCTTCTTGTTACAGATCTTATTCTTCTTCTGTCATGGACAAAGTTCCCTTTGGATGATAGCGCTTAAGGCTGGTTGAAGCAAGTTTGACTCTAACTTGTTTAGAGAAACAAAATTAAATCCGGCACACTCTTTAACCACCATCGTCAGTAAGAAATCGCAACATGGGGTAAACAGAGGGCAGAATGAAACATGAAGCGATATCTCACGCAATTTTGTCTTTTTGTAATTACTCAGGATCATCAATACTCAGCAAAGAATTGAAATAAAAATGGATTACAACAATGTTCCTCATAAATTTACTTCAAAGATTTCAGCTAAATTGAAAGAAATGAAACTGATATTATTACGTGCACAAAGTAAGGACATGCTTTGGACAAAGGAATATGCCTGCTTTGAATCATTTAGTGCCAAGAATAGAAATTAACATAAGTAACTCGGAGGAAAGAAAGCAAAAAAGAAAAACTGAATTTGACATGCTCGCTATTTTAAGTTATGATTAATAAATAGCTGTTTTACAGCTAAACCAATTGTACATTATCGAGATAATAGAAATTTGCCATTCGATATTTCATTTAAGTACGAAAGAACACTTACGGAATTATGAAGAATGTATTTCTTTATGATTCTTGTAAGCTGATTATCAATAGATTTATCTGCGGCCAGCTCTTATAATGAATTATGCATGTGTGTATACTCTTGGAATATTCTATGAAGGCAGATACTACTCCACCAGTATAGAATATTCACGTTTTTATGCACTATGCTTACGAATTTGAAGTCAAGATAGACTCCCTATGGCAAAAATTAGACCGAGTAACTGTTTCGATAAATTTGTTATGTAAACAACGAGAATTAACGAAAGCATATCATCCACTAAACGTGATCGCTACTGGACGATTTGTGGGAAAACGCGGTAAAGGTAAGATTTACGTAAGCTTTTAGGTAAACTATGATTAGGAGCGGAATAACTTACCTGGGGCTTGAGAATTACGTCGCCAAAAGGCGAAAACAGTATTCAACAATATACAGAGGGTATCCAAGAGTAAAATTTTTTACCGGGCCGGATAAGTGTTCTCTTAGCCACGCAAAACTTTCTGACGTGTGATTGGGCAGAGGGCTACATCTTTTGACATGCAAGCTTGCGGGCTCTTGTAGCATTCAAAATGATATGTCAACGCAGGGTGAGAGAAAACAATAAAGTTGAAAACCAAGAAATTACCTCGTGGCTAAGCATTACAAGGAAATCATTATTCGAAGTTAGAAATTGAATGTAGAATTAAAAGATACTTTTCTGACGAAACAATTTCGTCATGATGTGCAGGAGGAAAGATCTGTATCTTGAGGCAGTAACAATAAAAAATAAATCAAGTGAGTTTACAAACGGTATTATTTGCAGAGTATGTTATGATAATTCTCAGGTAGTAAAAATTGAATGACATTTCCATAAAGTGCTTGATTCATGTCAGTTACAAACTTCATAATAAAAATGCATGAAAGTAATGAGAGCATTGATGTCAAAAGAACATTTTCCAAATTAAACTATAGACTCCAACTTCTCTATCACTGTTATGGCGCTTTTCTTTTTTACGTTTTTTTTCGTTTAAGAATGTTGGCATATGTCTTTTTAAGCCTCGTGCGGGATGTGTCAGTGCAATAATGTAGTATTTAAAATCAAGGTGAATCTTTTGATCGAAGTAGCTTCTCGGTTAGTTCGTTTCGCTGGCTGGAGACAGCCGTTCTTTCTTGCAAATCGCACTTCAAAATCGCATCGAGTGCAGCCTAAAGTAAACACGGTTTAGCGCTTATACGTTACCCCATGTTGCGATTTCTTACTAACGATGGTGGTTAAAGAGTGTGCCGGATTTAATTTTGTTTCTCTAAACAAGTTAGAGTCAAACTTGCTTCAACCGGCCTTAAACTTAAGCGCTTTCAGTTCACTCTTTTCTTTTATCTAGTTATATTTTAAAGTTTTGTGTTTTGTAACTTTCTAATTTAGTTTTAACCAATCTTGAAATATTTAACCGTAAAACGAAGTAGACGCCAGAGCAGAATATTACATAAAGCGCGTTAAAACTTCCTTTCTTTACGGGGAGAACAACAAAAATATCAACTGAGAGCTTTCGCATTAGAAACGCGTTTAATTTATTGTTCCGTGTTTATTTTGTAAGTAGAGATTTGACAGTAAAAGAGTCTTGTTTAGAAAGCTGACTCAGTTTCAACATATTTTTCTTTTATCCCAACACTTGTTGACACCAATGTTATTACGTATTTGCATGTAGCAAAAGCTACAGTCAGTTCTATAGTGACAAGATTGTCTCTCAGAGTCATAGATTCGCGTGTCAGTTAACTTTTGTGTTTGTAAGATGATAGGCAATAGCATACATTAACTTGTGCGGTAGGAAAATTAAAACGGCCTTCGCGTAACGAGCATTGAATGAATAATTTCTTATACCTTGGAACCCGTTGGCAAGATTTGACCAGATGAAAGAAGTTATCTCTCAATAGATTAAAATCTTTATTTTGTCTTACAATCTTTCACTTATATATTTATACTATTCCCCTTCACACGCGTCTTTTTGAAAACTTCTGCCTTCTCTTTAGTTTTTTTTGTTATGAAAACACCTGTTAGACATGAGTATATTGTTCTTTAGTTGATTAAGTATTACCCATACCCTTTTGTTTGATTAATTTACATGCACCTATTTAAAGCTGAAATTTATTTAAGGTTTTGGCAAGCTGGACAAAGCCGGAGTCGTTAGATAATATCATCAAAATGACTTGATAACAATAACCTAAGGCATTATTAGATGTCACGTATTATTTAAAGCCATCTCATGTTTAAAGAAGCAAGATCTTCATTTGCTATGGTATACCCTCAAGGTTGCCAGTACCGATCGGAAGGTTTTCCAAAAACCTACTTTCAGGCTGGTAAACACCTATAGCTTCAGGGATCTACGCAGGACGACAGAAGTAGGTAAGTTTGAATATTTGTAAACATGAATCAGAGAGGACTAATAGTTTCATAAAAATAATTCTATATGTACAACGAATGTTGAGCAGTTGACCATCAAGAGATCGAAAGCATTAAGAAGATCATCAGCGCTGTCATCATCCGGGAAAAAAAAAGTTTGGTTATTGCGGTAAGTAGGCGTTTTCTTTTGTAAAGAGAATGCCATTCATACAAAAAGACAAATGCATCCATACGGACGCGTCTGTAAGGTGGAGATTTAAAAATTTTCAGGAGTTGTCTGATCTACATCCTCGCGATTTTCTTCTATTTTCTTTGGCTACATCCCGCGTAATGGCAAGAATACTCGTTTTCAGTATTCGGTTCTTTTGTGTGCAGATGACTACATCACTTCCTGATGACTTGAAATACATGCTTCTATGGAAAACAGTTCATTCGCGCACAACGTTTCAAATAAATATTTTTCGTGAGATAAAGTTTCTTAGGGCTTTGTGTAGAATTTCACAAGCTGCCCCTAATATCCACCTGCACACCTCAACACATTGAATTAAAGCGAAAAAAAAACAACAATACGGAGCAAGTTACTGTTGAAAATTTAAATATCCAAAAACCTTTTTCAAATCACTGCAGAAAAATACGTGCATAATATGAAACTGCTGAAAATTTCTTGAATTTGTATCGTTCGTGAGCTTTTATATGAGGCATTAAATCTATTTTGATTAAGGTATCCGTCAGTATTTTTCACCTAAGGAGGGAGGAGTGGGGATCGAAGTATCTTGTTTGGGGAGTTACAAGGTTTTCAGGAAACGGAGCAGGAATCAGTTGTCGCTAACGGAGTATACATGTAAATGAGCGACTAAAGAAAATTGACTCCTTATTTGGGGGATGATTACAATACTTCAGAGCCTTATCGGGGAATCAGGTAGAGTTTGTGAATACCCAGAGGCATAATATAAAATGACTCACAGTTCATCCTTTTCGTGATAACGAGGAACGTGGACACAGGATATCAAAGCCTCTATTTTCCTCTAATTTTTTTTTATATTTTCCTCGGTCAACGTAAGCACAAATTAATGATGGATAGGAAACTACTTAGCCATTAAAGTCAGTTAATGGAAATTTTCTTCTTCTTCCCAAGTCTCTTATAACCGTAATTATGTGGACAAATTATTTGATAAAAATCGGCAATGATCTCGAAATTTCTCTTAGGGTGTACATCTGTATTCTTCTGTTGTCTCGTTGCTGTGATGATGACTAAAGAAAATTGAAGGCTTTTTTTATCGCAACCCGAAATCTTAGCAATCCTAATAGCCAGTAGGACAAAAGAGTACCTGATTCTAAAGGAATCCACGGTAACCATGAAGGATCAGAGAGAAATCATATTACTTTCAACCAAAAAAGGCTATATGCATTTGGAAATTATATGCATAGGGTTTTGTCGTGATTTTGCCCTGGATCTGTTTCCTGCCAGCGGTCATCATATCACTAGCACCTGGGCCACTGCATACAAAAATAAGCATTAATCGTTATTCGCTTGTGATGTGACTTAGCTGAGTTCTTCTTGCTTTGCAATAACGTGTGTGCGTCCTTACAATCTACGCCTCCTGCTTTAAATCTAGAACAGAATTAATCCATGTATATTGTGGAAAAGCGAAGATATTGATTTTTGGGTTATGATAATGTCGCAAATATGAAACTACAGTACAAAACCTTTCCAGTAGGAAATAGTGCGGACGTCCATGAAAAAAGACCCAATCTAGAGCCAACACATCCCGTTCTACGCCCTGTTTTTCCCTCTCCGTCGCCTTATTTTCTCTTGTTGTCATTTGTAACATTTGAGTAGTGCATCCTTAATTTGATTGTTGAAAGCTTCTCCAAAGTTACCAAAATCAGATGAAGGGGCAAAGCCATGAACAAAACACCATTAAAATTAAATTGTAGAGTTTTGACTGCTTGACTGGCTGTCGAGATCGATTTGTAGGAATATCTTTCCCAGAATGGGCAATGACTGCGCAAGGAGACCATTTAATGCGACTGTCATTGCTCCTGGCTCGAAGTCGAGATCTTGTTTTCACGGCCGCTATCAACAGCACGTTAAGCATGCGTTAAACTGGAAAGGGACAAGCAACGCTTTTAATGATGACAGTGTTGATATAACTAATCTCCGGTGGGATAAAATGAAGGCCTCATGAAGAGAGATCGAACCTTTAGATCAACACATTGAATCTTAGCGGTTTTTTTCTTCGGCTTTGATTGACCAGCTCTACTCTAATATGCATGCATTTCCACTAAACATTTTTCGCGTAATTTTCGGGTTTCTCATAACGTAACAATCGAATGAAAGAGAATCCTAACAAATGTGCGAGACATTAGAAAACAATCGAGTGAAAGAGAACCCTTAAAATGTGCAGGATGTTAACGTAACAATCCAGTGAAGGAGGATCCTGAAGGAATACCAGATACAAATATAACAATCCAATGAAAGAGAATTGTAAAAGTGCACAAGATACTAACGCAATATTTATTATTCATTTCAAAAAACAAGAAAAATTCAATCTTAATTTTAACCCACAACAATATATGTTCCTAACAAACGTCAACCGTCAGAGAACCTAAAATTTAAAAGGCGTAACAAAGAAATCGGCAACTGACTACATCGAAAGAATATCAACTGTCAACCGTCAAAGTGAGCCACCCCCCCCCCCCATTAACCAATTGATCTTTGATTTGAATTGCGCCAGAGCGAGAACAGTTCCTACAACGAGAGGCGTTCTAGCCTGATAGCAGATCACATGTGATATTTGCGGATAAACAAAACTAACAAACAAACTTCGATAATTCTTACATTTCATTGAGAGCTGAGACAATTCATCACACGCTTCGAACAGACGTGCGCGTGCGCATTTCAAGGAGTTCTGACATTTCATAGCTAACATCACGACACAGCATTTTCTTGATAATGAGCTTAAAGGCTCGTCTATAACTCGAGCTCTGAAAAGCATAGATAAAAGGATTAATCGAACAATTTAAAAGTGTAAGGTATTGCGAACCTATCTGAAGATGCCCATATGTATGGTTCACTTTACTCACTTTCAAGATGAGCAGTATTCCATACGGAATAAAAGCTATGAAAAACACCACAGTAAGCAAAATCAGCAGCGTAACCAATCTTCTTTTTTCATTCGTTTCTTCCTGCGTGTCGCATCTTTCACTATTTCTTCCAAAAACTGTGTTATTGAAGTACATGCCATAGACGATCCGTGAATAACAAATTGATATCACAGCAAATGGAATCAATGTGAGGAAGATGATTAGGCAATCAACATAGATCATCATTGTATGCTCTGCTTTACCATGAGAACAATAACGCATTTCTGAATCCCAATCGAAAGTTGCAAAGATAGGAGTTACGAGCGTTATAGCAAGCAACCAGATTCCAGCTATTACGTAGCTAATGTTGTCCATGCTTAGTCTTCCAGATAGTGACATGGGTTTCACTAGAGCGTGGTATCGTTCAATAGCCAGCATTGTTAGCGTCAAGGCAGTTACAAGAAGCGTGACAATCGAAACAGTGTTGGTTAAGATAAATTTGCAAAGAAATGCTGCTATTACTGTAGAACGAATTGGGATATTTGTAGTCAAGATTAAAAATAAGATTGCCGTAAAAAGCAGAGTGGTGATGTCTGCCACAGCCACGTTGACCAGGAGGTAGTTGGTGGTTGTTCGCATGCTGCGTATTGTCTTCACGACGACAATTACCAGAGAGTTGCCCAAAATACCAACGGTGACGATCAGCCAAAACGCTATAGTCGCTATCAATCGCCTGATCTCTGCTTCCTGGTTAAAGCGATCAGGCTCTTCTGTTGCTATCGTTATGTTAGTAGCAGAGCTGTTGTTCCTCAAGGTACCCATTTTTAGAACTTAGGAGGAGCTGTCGACTCGGCAAGGTGACAGAGAAAAACTGAGTGCGATCGGGTCTGCGAAGTCAGTTCTGCTTAAAGTTACAAAGGAGTAGAGATATTAATACCCATTCTTATGTTTATTCCCACTTTCGTGTTTACAATTCATGACGGTGAATGAAACAACTTAGCTCTTCAATTTGCTTCGCTCGGCATCAAATTGTGGTTTCGTGGCAAATTTGATGGAAGCGCTTAATCAGTTTTTAGGAGGCTATAGCCTGAATTCCTTTTCGGGTTTTTTAAATTTAGAATGAATCTAACAGCTAACTTTACGTGAGTATCAGTTCATCACAAAGTAAGGACCGGACAGTTAATTATCACGGAGCAAGGGAGGAGGGGATAGAAAGATTTTGGTGGTGTGGTAATGAAATTTGCTTGATCCCTGATCCCCCCACTACAGCTCTGTAGTACTCTAATGATTCTCCTCATAGGCAGTCAATCCTCTATGGTCCTCTCTTTATACTCTGTTACCGACGACTGATCCCCCCCCTCCGTTCACCCTGAAAATTATGTGATCCCAAAAAATTCTTCCAAACACCCCCCACCCCTCCCGGAAGATAAATAAAGACTGGTCCCTTAGGTGCTCTCTCAGAAAGAAACAGAAAGAACTGTGCAGGGGTGTTTTATAGTGCGTAGTCAAGCGTGCGAAAGTTTTCGTGGTTTGTGAAATTTTCCATCGTTTTGCATGTGATAGCTTAGTGCCTCAAAAGTACGCTATAGGAACATAAAGCATAAATCTTATGAAACACCAGAATGACTTCTTTTCCAAGTGTGTGAAAGCCATGGTCAATATCCCCACCCCATGAATTGTTTTAAAAACTTCAGTCACTTAAGAATGAAATGCAATCAATTTGACTCCCTTTATCTATCGCGACTTGTGATAGAATACAAAATGTCGTCAATCAGAGGTTTAATTGGAAATGAAATAAAATGATATTTAATGAGAATGGATTGGATGTCATTTTGATAGCTCTAAATGCTAGGAATTATTCAGCGAACAAATATATAATTTTGAATACAAAAGTCATTTTGTATAAGCATTGGACA